GTTATTTTCATACTATTGTAAAAAATCAATCGTAATCATTCATTTCTGGACTCTTTCTTCTGTTCTGCTAATCTATACGTCTATCTTTACATAAATAATTACATGTTCTTTCTCACTGCTGTCAAGTTGTTCCTCAGAACCAAGCCTCCAGTGGATTTCCAAGGTTATAAATTGAATGGGAAGAAAATGTCTCTCTCTCTCTCCAGCAGAGCTGGTAGATTCAAACTACCAGAGAAGTGTAGCCTTTGGATTAGCAATATAACTCTCTACAGACTATGCCACCAGAGCACCCTAATAATACTAAGATGGTTATAAGGAAAAAAAAACAATCATCAAAGCCAACAGATAATAGCAGATGTTGCTGAGAACATACAGAAACCAGTTTCTCTATATACTCCTGGTGTGAATGCAAAATGGGTGTGGAGCCACTTCGGAAAACAATGTGTCAACTTCTCAATCAGTTCAACACAGGTAACATATGTCCTATAATCCTACTTCTAGATATATACCTCAAAGAATAGAAAACGGTATATAAAGCTTGTACATGAATGTTCATAGCAACATTATTCAACACTGTTAAAATGTGCCAACAACCAAGATGTCCATGAACTAACAAAGAGAAAATGAAATGTGGTATGCCAATATAACCCTGCTATACATATGTGGTATATCCATGAACCCTGGAGGCACAGTGTGTAAGTACAGTCACCATAGTTTGAATTCTACCAGCTGCTATGTGAGAGAAAGATGTGGCAGTGTGCGTCCATAAGATTTATAACCTTGGAAATTCCATGGAAATTCTCTGTCTTGTAGGGTCATTATAAAAAAGAATTCAAACAGCAATGCGTCTAATACCCATACAATGAAACTTTATTTGGCAATGAAAATAAATAAACTAGTGATTCATGCCACAACAAAGACGGGCTTTTAAAAAAGTAAGAGGAAGAAGCCAGTCAAAATGACCACATATTATAATAAATATTCTACTTTTAGAAAATGTCCAGAATAGGTACTTCTATTACAATCAGAAAACAGATTAGTGGCTTTCTAATTTCAGGGATTTAGGGGGACTGGATGTGGCAGAGAGGGAGTGCAGATTTTTTTTTTTAAGGTTAATAAAAATGTCTAAAACTGACTGTGATGATAGTTAAATAATTCTGTAAATAAACGAAAGTTACAACTTTAAATGAGTAAAGTGCATCCTATGTGACTTATATCTCAATAAAGTTGTTTAAAAAACAAATAAAATAATAGAGTAAACCAAACTTAGATTATAGCTTCAGTTTTTTACTTTTACTTAAATATAGTTAACCCTTGAAAAATATTGGTGGTTTGGTGGGGAACCAATCTTCCACACCTGGTAGTAAAAAAATCCATGTATAACTTCTGACTCCCCGAAAAATCCTAACTACTAGCTGTAGACTGGAAACCTTACTGATAACATAAAAAGTTGATTTAACATGTGTTTTATATGTCTATGTGTATTATGTGGGATGACAACAACAAAAAAAGCTTCATTTTCAATATGAGTTAAAAATGTATTTTTTTAAAAAAAAAGGTATCTCACAGATTTAAGGAGTTTTTTTACCTGTTGACATAGCTGCAAGTGACCACTCCATGAATTTCCTTTCTCTACAATGGTCCTTACTGGATTAATTTATCTTGAAGTGGCAGACAACTACAGCTGCAGAGCTCTGTCTACAGTATATATCAAGCAATTAGTATTGCCATGGCTTCTTGGGAAGGTTCCAGCATCACTAAGTGGAACTCTGTATGGATCCCACGGTGTTATGCAAGATGTTCGCAATATGACTACACTTGATGAAAAACATGAACCGTAAGAGATCATTACTATGGTATGAAATTTACTGGAAAAATTAACTTCTTGAGATGATTAGTGTCCCACAGGATAGGGGGGAAAAAATTCATGTATAGGTGGACTTTTACGGCTCAAATTTGTGTTGTTCAAAGTCAACTATATTAATGATATGACAAATGACAACTTGTATAGTTGTATTTTTTTAACAGTCATTGTAATACAGGAAAAAAGACAGTAGTAAAATAAAAATACAGTAAGGAAACAGACAAAAATGTAGCCATTAATTTTTTCTTAGGTAGTTAACAAGTTCATTAACCTGTAACCAGAACATACTAAAATCAGCATTTAAAACCTAAGAAAAGTTACTTGGAAATTTGTTTCCCTTAAACAGTTTCTTTTGATTTACTCAATCAAAATACACCACAGCAATGAACAAGTCATCAGTTAGAACTAATGAATTAGAAATCTACTGAACAATCAATACCCTTGTAAGCAATAGCTAGGTATCAACAGATGTATTGCATTGGGCAAAACTGCTGCAGAGGCCTTCCTTAAAGTGCTAGAGGACCAAGATTTGCTTCAAACAAGCCATGGTATTTTAAACTGCTTCATATGCATGTGAAATTGGACAAGGACTAAGGAAGACCAAAGAATTGATGCCTTTGTATTGCAAGGGTGACAAGGAATAGGAGTAATACAGGATACGCCAGGGAATGTCAAAAGAACAGACATGTTTATCTTGGAAAGAGTGTAGGCAGACTGCTCCTCAGAATCAAGAATGAGACTTAAGTGCACACACGCGTGCTATCGGGGATGGGCAATCTCTGGAGAAAGACATCATGTTTAGCAAGGTAGAGGGTCAATGAAAGTGAGGCAGGTTCTCAACAAGCGAGATTAACACAATAATGAGCTCAAATCACAGTAGCACAGCAAGGACAGTGCAGGTTCTGCTGTTCTAGTGTCACTAGGAGTTGTCTCCAACAACAATGACTAGGCTTCATGCAGAAAAAGAGTATTATTATTTTACTGCTAACAGCAGTGTAGACATTCTACTAACTTTTTTTTCCTTCTAATTATAAAACTCATTTTGGGTAATTGTAGTGTTCTTTAATATTACTGTTGTTTTTAAGTGCCATCAAGTTGAGTACGACCTATAGCAACCCTATGAACAAAAGACCTGAACCCTATTCTATAACTATCATCATTTTTCTATGTTCACACAGTTTTCAAAGGCATGCATTTACAATCTATTAAGAGGGGTATATTTTGGTCTCACTCTGCATAAGATCTGATACAGACATTAAATGATGAAAAACATTCACATTAATTGTATTCTTTCTCTGAAGGGCACCAAAGTTTATTCCTAGTGGATGTATAATATAACCCTACAATAATACAATGAGTAAGTCCTATTACTTCTTCAATAAATAGAAATCTAAAAACAGATTAAAATTTATTGTTACCTTTCTATTACTAAAATTCCTTCCTTTACTTGGAGAAACTAGCAAAATCTCCTCCTCTGTCCCTGGAGGTTAAAGAAAAGGAGTCCAAGTCAAATTTCCACTCTGAGACAAGAAGCTAATTTACTACGATGATCACCTTTAATATTGCCAGCAGCACACTCGCAGATGAGTCTATTATTGGCATGTTGTCTGTCAGAAGTTCAATTTAAAATTTGCTTATAGTCTTATTGCCTTCACAATAAATAAAATTGGTTTATATTTCTATTTACATGTTGATTCTCAAATTGCTGTTCTAAAAGATATATGGGCCTTTTAGAAACCAAATTTGGACACAAAATTAGACTTTTTAAAAGTTACAAATAAAGTTGGTTAGAAACATTAAAGTGATCAGAGATAGTTAATATATGTGCTGCTAATGTATTAGTTTACACTGGTCCAAATAAAGAAAATATTAGTAGGAGGGTAATACTTGGGTTTTCAGTTCAAAACAAAACTGGACGTGAAGACCACAAAAAAAATAGCCAAGAGCTTAAGGAATCTATAAATTTAAAAAGATCAGTCACAAAGAACAACTGCTTATATGCTCAACAGATCTGTTACTTCTTTTGCTCCAGAAACCTTTGAGAAAAGGAGCAGTAGAAGAGGTAACTAATTATAATAGCAATTTTGTGGACAGAGAACACGTCAGCATGTGAATAATGTGTGCAGTACACAGTTTTTTGCAAAGCACAAAAATGCCCCGAGCACTGGTTTCCTAGGCGTGGAGTGCGTGCTATTTATGAAATATATGGTAAAGTAAATTAAGCCTGATTGTAAGTGCAGGCAATTGCACTGAGCTCCCTAGAAGCGTGAAAGTCACAGGCTGCAGCTGAGCCTGGACATCTGGAAAATGCAGGCAAGCACCCTGGGAAAGTTGTGACCTGGGTTAAAGACGGTGAACTGTAGAAGTATCCTGCTCAGGCTAAATGACAATGTCAAAATATATAGTGATGGGTCATTACGGAAGCTAAGGAATTGAAGTGCTTATTTAGTCAGAAACTATTACTCTTGCTGCAATGGTTTAAATCAAGAAGTTTACTCTGTCTTGGGATAAAAAATAAGGATAAATTAGTCGGAAAATGTGCTGATTTCTCACTCAGTAAGCCACATCTCTCAGCTAATAGAAGAGACGGCAGAGCCCTAACCAAGCAGGAGCTCTACTAGCTGGTAAAGTTCCTAAAAACCCTCAAGTACCAACCGAAATCTATTGGGTGGCAACACACCTTAAAATACGGAGGAAATATTCTCATTTCTGCTTAAAGTCTAAGTCCCTCTGCTCTTTAGAAGGCACAACAAGGGGAGTTAACAATTATAAAAAGCTGACACAAGTAAATCCACAGATCTCTGTAAAGTAAAAAATGACATATATTAATGATACTTATATATTATAGTCATAAAGCTTCAGTAGAATAAAAATCTCAGGAAACCTCTTTCACTTAAAACAGAAAGAGCAAACAGTGTGACAAAGGGTCATTTAAGAAAAAAAAATATGGACAGTAGAATTTGGTTCGTGAAGCTACTTAATAAAAAAACCCCCAAAACACACCAACTATCTATCCCATTAAAAACTGCACCCTTATTTAGAAACAGAATGCAACATTTTCATTTTAAATGTGAAGAGGTTGATAAATGTACCTGAAGGCATTTAGAACAATTCAACACTAGAGAAATGTACATACTTTCCTCTGGATCCTCACTAGGTTGAATACTGCTGGCAAGTTCCTGGACAGCAGCTCGTGACTCAGGCGTAGACCGATGAGGCCCCAAGTGACTGTCCCTTTGGGCTTCCCACTCTTCACTGAAGCCTCCATCATCAGCCTCTGCAACGGAGTTTTGGGACTCATTTTCTGTGCCTTAAAAGAAAATGAAAATCATAGGCAAAATCTTTAGACCAATTGGCATGGACTTCTAGAATGAGACCAATCAATTTCCTATTTCTAAGTCTGCATTCTTCTTAAAGAGGTAACCCTCTTTAAATTTTAAAAGCATCAGACCTCACATCATGTGAATCCTAAAATCACATAAGCACAAGGTTTATAATAAACAAACAGCAGTAACCTATGTTCCTCACTTTTGATCCCCATTCCCACTTTGAATTCTTTTAGCAGTTTCTTTTGGCATTTATCTCTATATTTAAACTATACATAGTACTGTAGTACTGGCTCATAGTACTGTATATTGATGTTTTGATTTTACTCACTCATTTATTCACTTCCTATAGGGAAGATGAAGCATCCACTTTCATAGTCTTTAAAATACAAATTTAACATGGGTGTGCATATATCTGCTTGGGTGTCAGCTATGGTCTCTTCAGGGTATATTCCCAGTAGTGGAATTGCTGGGTCAAATGGTATCTCTATTTGCAACTTTTTGAGAAAGCACCAT